AGAAGAAGAGAAGAAGAGATTGGATTGGATTTATACCCCGCCCTTCACTACCCAAAGGTGTCTCAAAGCGGCTTACAAACTCCTTCCCCTTCCCCTCCCCACAACAGACACCCTGTGAGGTAGGCGGGGCTGAGAGAGCTCTTGATAGAAACTGCTCTTTTTCAAGGACAGCTCTTATCAGAACTACGGCTTGCCCAAGGTCATCCAGCCAGGTGCAAGTGGAGGAGTTGGGACTCAAACCCGGTTCTCCCAGATTAGAGTCCGCTACACCAAACTGGATGCCGCTGTATTTATTTATTTAGCCTCATTGTATTTATTGGAATGTATGGAATTGTATTTTAGATTTTGTATATGCTGATTTTAAATTGTATGTTGTTTTTAAGTTGTTTGAAAGCCGCCCTGAGCCACTTCGGCGGTAGGGTGGGGTAGAAATTTAATAATAAATAAAATAAAAGAAATAAACATGATTCAGGCGGGTAGCCATGTTAGTCTGAAGCGACAGAGCAAAGTTTGAGTTCTGGGGCACCTCTAAGACCAAAGAACTTTAAATCTTCTGGGTATAAACTTTCATGTGGTATCTGACTAAGTGTGCATGCACGAGAAAGCTGATACCCAGAATTAAACTTTGTTGGGCTTAAAGGTGCCCCCGGACTCAAACTTTGTTCCACAAAAACATGCTCACAGATGTAAAAGAGGAGTCCAGTGGCAGGCACCGTTGTGACTATCGAAATCTGTTCCAGTTTTTGGGGCTCTGAGCTCACTTCCTCAGATGCAATGGAGGGTAAATCCGTCAGGCATGATCTATACACATGGATTTGCACTCCAGAGAATCTGGTGTGTGTGTGTGTGTGTGTGTGTGTGTGTGTGTGTGTGTGAACTCTGACTTGCTAAAGCGGCAAGAAATGCTGTTAGTCTTTTTTTTTTTTTAATGTGAGCCTCCATCTATTAACCAGTGGCTCTTCAAGATTAGGGACTTTTTAAAACTCGAAACATTATCAATATATAATACTGAAAACCAAAACGAATGTGAGCTATACAATTCATTAGGGAAATGGTATCATATAACAGAGATGTGGTCAGTTTGGTGTAGTGGTTAAGTGTGCAGACTCTAATCTGGGAGAACAGGGTTTGATTCCCCACTCCTCCACTTGCACCTGCTGATGTGACCTTGGGTCAGTCACAAGCTCTGGCACAGCTGTTTCTGAAAGAGCAGTTTGTGTCAGAGTTCTCTCAGCCCCACCCACCTCACAGGGTGTCTGTTGTGGGGAGGGGAAGGGGAAGGAGTTTGTAAGCTGCTCTGAGACTCCAAGTGAAGGGCGGGATATAAATCCAATCTCATCTCATCTCGATTGGGAATCTATCACAAAATGCCAAAGACAAATTACTATTGCATGCTTAAAAGAATGTATAATTTAGTTATCATTAGAATATTCTTGTGATCGGAAATGACTTATATGTATATAAAGCACACTGAAGAAACCTGTATGACTCTAATTCATTTTTTAATGTTGTATTATAAAAGAAAATTAATAAAAACTTTTTTTGGGGGGGAAATGTGAGCCTTTAAGGTGCCCCTGGACTACGGGCTTGATTTCGTTGCTACATCTTAAAAATAGCTACACGTCTGGCATCTTTCTCATAAAGGCTAGGAGAGCCAGAGTGGTGTCGTGGTTAAAATGTTGGACTGGGATCTGGGTAAACCCAGGTTCGAATCCCCACTCGTGCCATGGGAGCTCATGGGGCGACCTTGGGCCAGTCACATACACTTAGCCCAACCTACCTCACAGGGTTGTTGTGAGGATTGAAGGGAGGAGAGGCGGAGGAGGTTAGCTGCCGTGGGCCCTTGTTTGGGGCGAAAGGCGGGATATAAATTAAAAAACCCCAAGAAAATAAAGAAATATATCGAAGAAACATACAGATATTGGTGAATTTCCTGCATTGTGCAGGGGGTTGGACTAGATGACCCTGGAGGTCCCTTCCAACTCTATGATTCTGTGATTCTACATGCCTGCCTCTCAGCCTCCCAAGAGGAGAATTCTACAAATCATGCAGAAGAAGAAGAGATTGGATTTATACCCCGCCCTTCACTACCCAAGGGAGTCTCAGAGTGGCTGACAAATTCCTTTTCCTTCCCCTCCCCACAATAGACACCCTGGGAGGTAAAAGAGGAGGAAGAAGAAGAGATTGGATTTATACCCCGCCCTTCACTACCCAGAGGAGTCTCAGAGCAGCTTACAAGCTCCTTTCCCTTCCCCTCCCCACAACAGACACCCTGCGAGGTAAAAGAAGAAGAGGAGATTGGATTTATACCCCGCCCTTCACTACCCAAAGGTGTCTCAGAGCGGCTTACAAACTCCTTTCCCTTACCCCTCCCCACAACAGACACCCCGTGAGCAGTGCTCCCTCCAAGCTGTGGAGTCTTGTGAGCAAAAATTCTACTTTGTGAGCTCCTGGCATTAAAGTTACGAACGAGCGATTAAGCTCCTGCATAAATTAGCTTGCTCCTAATTCAGGGGTGGCCAAACTGTGGCTCTTTCACACGGTCCGATTTAATGTTAATAAAAAGCAAAATTGCATATCTTCCAATAAGAATGTGTGTGTAACATTTGTCCATGTCTTGTGGCTCTCAAACATCTGATGTTTATTCTGTGTGGCTGTTACCTTAAGCCAGTTTGGCTGCCCCTGCTCTGGAGCTTTCCTTCCTGAGCCGGAGGCCAAAAAACTGTGAGCTATGTCACACTAACTCAACTTAGAGGGAACACAGGGGTTGAACCTGGAACCTTCTGGATGAGGAGAGGAGGAGGAGGAGGAGAAGAAATTGGATTTATACCCTGCCCTTCACTACCCAAAGGAGTCTCCATTTTATAATCTCCTTCCCCTCCCCACAACAGTCACCCTGTGAGATAGTGGGGCTGAGAGAGCTCCTTTGAGAACTGCTCGTGATAAAACGACTGTGAAAGAACTTGTGACTGACCCAAGGTTACACCAGCAGCTGCACGTGGAGGAGTGGGGAACCAAACCCGGTTCTCCCAGATTAGAGTCCATGGTCCTAACCACTACACCAAACTGGCTCTCATGTTGTTTCTGGAACCCGGCTCCTTGGCTTCACTCACCTGACTCCGCAGGGCATCACGAAAGAATCTCTGTTACCTCCTGAGTAAGAAACCGAGCGTCTCAACCGACTTCTTCCCCTTCTGCTGCGAGCATCCAGCGGTGGCTTAAATAGCTCACCAGGATTGCATCAAATTCAGCCACACCCCTGACAGAGAGGGGAGATGGGAAGGGCTGGCTTTTGTCTCGATGCCAGTCCGGTGTTTTGGGGGGTTTTCTGGACAGCAAGAGGCGGTGACCGCCCTCCACTTTTCCCAAGAAACAGAGACAGCCCACAGCATGACCTTTCTCATGTGTGGCTGCCCTGTTGTGTGGGTGCAGCAAAGTGCTTTGGGGTAGCCTCCCGCTCACACATTGTTGTCTTCGCTCAGGAAGGGACGGCTCCAGAGCAAACGAATGTATGCAGCAGCCAAATCGCTCGCTCACAACTTTAATGCCGGCAGCTCACCAAGTAGAATCTTTGTTCACGAGACTCCGCAGCTTAGAGGGAGCATTGCCCATCACACACCCTCAGCTTAACCTACCTCACAGGGTTGCTGTGAGATAAAAAGCAGAGGAGAGCAGTGTTCCCTCTAAGCTGAGTTAGTGTGAGCCTAGCTCACAGTTTTTAGCCTCCGGCTCACACATTTTTGTCTTCGCTCAGGAAGGGAGGGCTCCAGAGCAAACCAATTGATGCAGCAGCCAAATGGCTCGCTCACAACTTTAATGGCAGTAGCTCACCAAGTAGAATTTTCGCTCACAAGACTCCACAGCTTAGCGGTAGCGTTGGAGGAGAGGGGAACCACCTAAGTCACTTTGGATCTGCATTGGGGAGAAAAGTGAATATAGCCCCCCCCCAATGAATTAATCATGATCAGCCCCCCTTGTGCACGGCTGATCTTGATGATAAAAAGGGCTTTTGCTATGCTGCTGACCATGGAAGTTCTCTGTTCCCTGGAGGTGTTTTGCCAGGCATGATTTGTGATCTCACCCCACCGCTCCACAAAAAGAATTGCTGGTTTGCCCTAACTTAACTCTGGTGCTGCAGCTCCCCTCCATGACTGGGACAGATTCAGGAACTATCGTTTCACATCTTTTACTTTATTAACCAGGGAGGGACTGTGGCCCGGTCGAAAAGCCTCTGAGAGCCAGTTTGACGTAGTGGTTAAGTGCGCGGACTCTAATCCGGGAGAACCGGGTTTGATCCCCCCCATTCCTCCATGTGCAGCTGCCGGTGTGACCTTGGGTCAGTCACAAGTTCTTTCAAAGCTGTTCTCTCACAAGCAGTTCTCAAAAGAGCTCCCTCAGCCCCACCTACCTCACAGGGTGCCTGTTGTGGGGAGGGGAAGGAGATTATAAGATGGAGACTCCGTTGGGTAGTGAAGGGCAGGGTATAAATCCAATTTCTCCTCCTCCTCCTCCTCCTCATCCAGAAGGTTGTTCCAGGTTCAATCCCTGGCACCTCCACTTAAAAGGATCAGGTAGACAGAAGATGGTATTATCGCAAAAGAACAATAATTGGATATTAGAGATTTTAAAGTGCTTTTTTCCCCCCAGTCTGGAAGGGGCTGAGGAAAGGAGAGGCAAATCAGTATAAGTAACCTCCCAAGTATATAGCCTGACAGTGCCACCGAAATGCAAATGACGCGGGTCAGAGGAGGACAACGAGCAGCCAGAGCTGGGGGGTAGGGTTGCCAGATCCAGGTTGGGAAACTCCGGGAGATTTGGGGATGGAGCCTGGAGAGGACAGGGACCCCCGTGGGGTACAAGGCCATGGAGTTCGGCCTCCAAAGCATCCTTTTTTTTTTTGAAAGGGAATTGATCTGTATAGTCTAGAGCTAAAGGTAAAGGTTCCCTTGCTCGAAAGCCAGTCGAATCCGACTCTAGGGTTGCGGTGCTCATCTCCGTTTCCAAGCCGAAGAGCCAGCGCTGTCTGAAGACGTTTCCGTGGTCATGTGGTTTGCATGACTAAACACTAAGGCGCACGGAACGCTGTTACCTTCCCACCGAAGTGGTACCTATTTATCTACTTGCAATTCCTTGCTTTCAAACTGCTAGGTTGGTAGGAGTATAGTCTGGAAATGAGCTGTAATTCCAGGGCATCCCCAGGTCCCGCCTGGAGGCTGGCCTCCCTCATGGAAAATCAGATTGGTGGTGAAGATTTTTCGCTTGTTTGTTTGTTTGTTTTTTACATGTGCAAGTGTGTGAGTGTGTGTGCACACAGAAGTCATGGCGACCTCTGGTGACTGTGCCCCTGGAAGTCATGGTGACCTCTGGTGACTGTGCCCCTGGAAGTCATGGCGACCTCTGGTGACTGTGCACCTGGAAGTCATGGCGACCTCTGGTGACTGACGGCTACTGGGGGCCCGGAGAGGCAGCTGAATGAAGTCTGCCCCTGCCTCCTGCCTCTGGTATTCCAAGGAGGTCTCCCTTCCAAGTACTCGCTAGAGTCGACCCTGCATAACTTCCAAGATCTGACGGAATCAGGCTTGCCTGGGCTATCCAGATCAGGGCGGCGGTGAAGATTTTTCTTTAAAGTTCCTTCAGTGACAGCAGCCAACCCAGCACAGGGATCTTCGCTGCGTTATTGTGTTTATTTTAAAAGGCATCCTGTTAAGCACAGCTCCTGCCTGAAATGTTGACATGTTACTACTAGAGTTATGCATAACCTCACCCCCTGACACTGTGCGGCAGCCATTTTGCGGCTGGCTCGGCGTCCTGTGGCAGCCATTTTGTAGTCCTGCTGGATCAGACCAGGGGTCCATCTAGTCCAGCATCCTGTCTCACACAGTGGCCAACCAGTTCCTCGGGATCTGAAGAAGTGAGCCGTGATTCACAAAAGCTCCTGCCCTGCCACAAATTTTGCTAGTCTTTAAGGTGCTCTTAGGAGTGGCGGTGGCTCAAGTGGTTAAGACACTGAACTGCAGGCTGTGGAAGGTCGGGAGTTCAGCAGTTCGAGACCCGAGTTGCTGCATGACGGAGTGAGTTCCCATCTCTAGTTCCACCTCCTGCCAACCTAACAGTTCGAAAGCAAGAAGTTGCAAGTAGATAAATAGGTACCGCTTCGGTGGGAAGGTAACAGCGTTCCGTGCACCTTGGTGTTTAGTCATGCCGGCCACATGACCACGGAAACGTCTTCGGACAGCGCTGGCTCTTCAGCTTTGAAACGGAGATGAGCACCGCAACCCTAGAGTCGGACACGACTGGCTTTCAAGCAAGGGAACCTTTACCTTTACCTTTTTAAGGTGCTCCTGGACTCTTGCTCTTTTCTATTCTTCAAAAGGTTGTGTCTCGTCTTTGCACATGGCTCTGCCTTGCTCTGAGGGAGGCACCTTTTCGGATCGCAATGCAGAACTCCTGTGGTGCAGAACTCCTGTGGCGCTCCCAAGAGAGAAGGAGGAAGCGGGTGTCTGATTATGCAAGAGAAAGGACAGAGGTCAGCAGCAGGGTAGACAATCGGTCGAGGAGACCTCTGCATGAATCCGAGTTCTACAGAAAAAGACGAGTCAGATTTCCAAATCAACACGAGGGAGGGAAGTGTGTGTGGGGGTGGGGGTGGGGGTGATCGATGAAGAGTGGACTCCACATTCAAATAATGTCAGTCCATCTGCAGCAGTGCGACTCTCAAAGGATGTTACCAGACGGGTAGCTGCGTCAAAGACTGCACTTCTCTCTGTGAAGAAAAATATTTATTTCCTTCATTTAAGCCCCATTCTTTCTCCCCAGTGGGGACTCAAGGCATCTGAGGTTCTGTTCACATGGAGGATTTGCCACGGTAAAGGCATGAATGGCAGGCGGATTACCGGTGTGCGATCACACCGCAACATCTGGGAAGTGTAGCACACCCGTGGGCAACCCGTGGCATCCCGCCAAAGATGCACGGTAAAAAACTACCTAGGAAAGTGCAGTGGTATCCGGAAAACGCGGGGCAAGGGCAGGCGTCTGATCGTGGGAGCGCTAGTATCCCGTGGCTTCCGGCGCCCGTCTGAGTCCCGGTGCAAACCACATGGTTTCCCTAAGCACATGCGCATGAACACTAAACTGGAAGCAGTGCTGCTCCGCGGAACTGCGCATGTGCACAAACATGGACTGCTTGACGCGCGGCTTCTTTGCCAGCTCCAGCATCGCCGTGTGATTGCAAGCTTCCTGCCACGGCGCGAAGACTCGAGAGACCGTGTGATCAAGCTAACACACATTTTGCCCCGGGGCAAATAGCCACACCTCACCCCCGCGTTATCTGGCCCGTGTGACTGCGGCCTGAGTCTCATTTCCTCTAGTTGTTTAGTTTAGTTTAGTTTAGTTGTTTTGTTTAGTTTAGTTTAGAATTGCGGTCTTGAGACCAACATACAGAGTAAGCATAAAACAGTCATAATATACAAAATACAAAAAATAGAATTTAAGAACGTTTAAAATGCGATTCCCGTAATCTAATAATTAATGCACAGAATTCAGCAACTGGATGTATAATCTCTGTATTCTTATCTGATAGGAGCCATTAATGATGGAACTGACTGGTTTGACATTTTAGAAATTATGGGTGTAAGGAGCCTATGTTGTAGACTCTGTGTTGTACTATTTCGGTTTATTGTGCTGGTCTTATGACTGTTCTTAATAAATGATTGATCTGATAGGAGCCAGTAAAGCCTTGATTTGTTAGTATTAATGTGACCAGGTGTCCTATTAACTAATCCTGTCCCTTATAATAAAGCCGTTTTGGCCTCCAATGTTCGATGCGCGCCAACAGTGGTTGGCGGCCCGAACTGCTACTCAGCATCTGTCTGCAAATCAGAAGGAGAAGCCCACGTCCCGCCCACACCACCACTGCCTGCGAAAATTCGCCTCAGAACTCACCATAGGAGAGAGACCGCCATTTGTCTTTGGAGGAGAGAGGACGCCGTAGAGGAGGAGGAGGACGATGAGGGCCGTGCCAGACGCCACTTGCTGCCGTGACCCATGAGTTAAGCCCCCCTTCCCTACCCGCT